TTAGAATGACTTAGAAACAGGGGGTGCTTTTTGGTTGATGTTGGATTATGATTTTATGTTTGCTCTTTTCTGTTTATGTTGTGGGTTGAATATATGTGGTGGTGTTGATTGCACATGCAGTGACTTGGAAATATAAATGATTACTTGGTTGGTGTGTGGAGGTGATGGCGACCATGTATATTTTTCTCTTATGCATATGATATTTACGGTATCAAATTTTTTTTTCGAGTAATGTATACTTCTTTTCCCTATGCGTGTATTTTTTTTTCACTTGGATGACAGATGAGGCAACCGTGGGTATTATATGTTTCCTAAATGTTGCATGTATTTTTTTTTGTGGGTTTTAGAGTTATATGATGAGACATTCAACCTTATGAAATCTTCTAGATGACTTTATTTCACCATTGTTTGGTGTCACATGTAAAATACAAATAAAAACAACCAAGTTTTTCTCAATTTTTAGTGTTATAGTTTTTGAGGTTCTTCTGAATGATTTCTTTTCTAGGTGATATGCATAAGTGACACACACGAGTTTGATATTAAGTGGGTTAAAGACAACAAATAACCCTTTTTTAATAAGGTCTGTTTTCTTCTGGTGGTAACAAATTCGTTGGTTTATATTCTATGTTCACTGAGATCTCATTGTTGCATAAAAAATTAATTGATTACTTCAAGTATTAATTTTTGCTAGTGTTATATATAATGTTATGTTTTTAACCCTTCAGGAAAGATGAGCTCGAGGATTTCCAGTACCTAAAGAGCATTGCACTGCCACTACAAATTATAATGTTTCATTTTTACTTCGTGACAGCGACAAAACTACGGGAGATAATTTTATAAGTGCTCGATAAGAATCATAGAAAACTGCTACTTTAGGTGGACATATGGGCTGGAAGATTCCACCACCGAGATTGATCGGACGTGGAGAGTTTCTCTAGAAGATGACTTATCTTGTAAAATGAACCATCTGTATTTTAAAAATAATATTATCTTATTATTGATTATTATTTTAATAGTTTTTTTTTTAATTTTGATAGTCATGCTACTTATTATTTAGTGATGTGTTTATTTTTATTTGACAATGTTATGAAAATGGGGGTGAATACACTTCAGATGCATTCTTGTAAGATTGCCAGAGAGCTGTGACTCACCACTTCACTGTTCGATAGACATCACTATAGAACGAGGGAGGATGAACCAAATTTTGGTGGAAAAAGTTTGATATATATTATTCAATGCTGGGTCAGATAGATTCTATTGGGTCGAAACTATGGATTATGCTTGTCACATAGTGCATGTCTGCCTTCTGCAACTATTAGGAAGTAGAACCTAAAGGAGATGTGGTTAGGAAATCCTGTTAGAGATTATGTGAACATGAGATTATTTGGTTATCCAGCTTACAACCACGTGCAGGAAGGTAAACTAGAACCACGAGCAATGAAAGCGACCTTCATTGGCTTCAGAAGTGAAGTTAGGGGCTTCAAAATATATGATCAGTAAAAAAGGAAGGTTGTTGTTAGCAGAGATGTTACATTCGACGAGACAAATTTGTTGAAAAATTGGGACTCAATGCAGGTGTAAAGTTCCATTGAGTTAGTCCAATCTGTTTCAGAGACCTGATTCAGTTGCAGCTCAGGAGGTATCTGTTGATAGTGCTTACGAGGAGGTGGTAGCATATGCTGAGGATGAGACTCCTACTCAAGACTTTATTGCTAGGAGCGGGATCAGACATCAGAATGTCCCAAAACCAGTTTGATTGAGGGATTACATTGCATTTGCACTTTCAACCATAGGAACAAAAATTATTGTCATTATAAAGAATTATCACCCTCCAAACTGTGATGTTTGGAGAGTGACAATTGATGAAGAGATGGATTTTCTTCAGAAAGATGGTACTTGGAGGTTGGTGAAGTTTCTTTTGGGAAGGAAAGTTATCAGGTGCGAGTGTATGTATGCAAAGAAGGATCTTATAGAGCTGATGTGCGGTATAAGATATGATTAATGAAAAAAGGCTTTGCACAACTAAAAGTGGTTTATTACGACAAGATGTTCTCTCTAGTGGTCAAACATCCTTCAATTAGTGTTCTCTTAACACTTGTAACACGAAACGATACAAGAGAAATTGTAAGAGGAGATCTACATCTTGCAGCTGCTGGATCTGAAGCGTCAAAATACTTAGTTTACAAACTTGACAAGCCTTTGTATGGGTTGAAGCAGTCACCACGAAAGTTGTATAAAAAAATTGACTAGTTTATGAGGGGACATGAGTACACAAGGAGTCAGATAAATCATTGTGCATATTTCAAGAATTTTGCCAATGGTGAGTTCATTAACTTACTTTTATATATAGAATATATTTTGATTGCACTAGTCAGATTGAGGTTGATAGGGTGAAGGAACAATTATCCAAACATTTCGAAATGAAGGAATTGGGTCAAGCTCACCGAAATCTTAGCATGAAGATTCTTAGAGACAAGATAACTGGAAAGATTTGGCTTATAAGAAGCTTATGTTAAGAAAGTGTTGGAGGAATTTGGGATTGATGACTCAAGCAAAGTGGTGAGTCTACCCATCGCATCTTACTTTCAGGTGAGTTCAAATTGGGATCCTAAATATGATCAGGAAAGGAAAGATATGGTTTCTTATACTAGTGCATTGAGCAGTCTGATGTGTGTCATTGTTTGTATCATAACAGACATTACACAAGTAGTTGGTGTTGTAAGCCGATTCTTGCATGATCCATAAAGGAAGTATTGACAGTGTGTGAAGAGTATTCAGAGGATCTGAAGGATACTATTGACGTTGGCTTGGTATTTGAGAGACAGTTATCTATTGCAGATCTGTGTATAGGCTACACTGACTAAGACCATACAGATGATATGGATTGACGAAAATCTATGACAGACTATTTATTAACATTGACAGGATGTCCAGTCAGTTGGAGGTCGGTTCTTCAATTTATTGTTGTTTTATGTAATACAAAGGCTGAGTACATAACAATCAAGGAGGCGATGAGGGAAGCGATATGGATGCAAGATCTATTGGATGACTTGAGAGTTGATCAAAAGTATCCGACAGTATTCTGTGACAGTCATAGTGCGATGTTCTTAGCTACAAATCCAGTTCATTATGCTGGTGCCAAACACACTAATGTGAGGTACTATTTTATTTGAGATATAGTTGAGTACGATAAGGTTTTGTTGAAGAAGATAAATACAAAAGATAATCCAACGAAAATCTTCACGAAGATACTGTCAGTTTAAAAGTACACATACTGTAAGAGTTTAGTGAACATCCAAGCTTCAGATTGATTGCCCATTCAGACATTTTGAAGAATTACGCGAGGCTTTATCCCTTCGAGAGAGAGAGGGGGGGGGGTACGTAGACAACATTTTTTACACTGCTAAATTGGAGTTTGAAGCTCATTTGATCATCTCTCACTCACTTATCTGGGAGTAAGAGATGAGGTGACGATTGCTATATTTATGACATTTTTATTTTAATATGGGGTAATTGGGGCTGTAAATGAACCAATGTACTCGATAAATAACTCGAAATTTGCTCGATTAAGGCTCGGTCATATTCGTTCAAATTAGTAAATAAACAAACTTAAATAATTTTTAAAAATTCGAAGCTTCAATGAACTAAACATGAACATTGCCAGACTTATGTTAATGAACAAAATCGTTTGTTATTCAACAAGTAACTTGTTAAATATTTGATAATAGTTCGTATCATATATGATTTATTATTGAAATACAATTTAATTAACTAGAAAATTAACCCATTTGTTGATAGCTCAATGATAACTTGCATCATATGTGATGTATAAATACTCAATATTAAGTTTCTGTAGGTTTTAAAGTTGTCATTTTTAGTTGCTTGGTAGGATTTAGGTTAAGTCATGCTTAAATGCTATACAAATCACGCTATTAAACATTCACCAAGCGAGGGATTTAGGGCAAAATGGAGGAGAAACGAGATTTAAGCTGTCATAGAATTTAGAGTTTATAATCAATAAATTAATAAATGAGATTAAATTTGTAAATTTATTTATTGAATTTTTTGTATGAAAATTTAGATACACCTTTGAATTTCTAGCTCTTTCATTCGCTCATTTAAATACTCGTTCTTTTGTCATAAACAAATGAAGTCCAAACATTCAAAAATTTAAATAAGTCAAGCTTGAACAATATATGAAAACTCAATAAAAGCTCATGCCGAAATTGACGACTTATAATTATATCAAGCCAAGTTCCAACTATGATATACCCGGCTCGATTAGGGCCGCCCTAGGAGCAATTTGGCATTTTGGCTTTATTTGCTTGTATGCCCCAATTCTTCTTTATAAAAGAGATTTAGGGTTCATGAGAGAGTTATGGTGAGAAGTGCAGAAGTTGTAACACGAAGTCATTTTTTTCTTTCTCCAATCCGGTGTTAGTAAAATCTTCCTCCTCATTGACATAGGTGAATCAATTCAACGTTGAGCCGCTTAAATTTTTTTGTATTTAATTATTGTCGTGTGAATTTTTACATTTCCATTGTTTTCTCATAACAGGTGAACGATAGAGATATCTTCTCATTCTCAGAATGCTTCTTCTGATTCGCGTGTTGTGGGGATTGCACAAATCCTGTTAGTAGGATGATGCCAGTTACCATTAAGGACCACATTAGGCTAACTACTGATTGAATTCCACATAGGAAGCTATAGAAATTAATTAGGGATGATCACAAGTTGGACTTGAACTTGTAACATCTACTTTTGGAACCAACGAACATATCAGTTGGGCTAGAACTGTTTGGCATATTTGTATTAGTTAATTGATACTCAAAATAACAAAATATGCCAATATAAATTAACGTTATTCCAAACAAATCTTAAACGATTCTTTGTCCCACAACAATATCCATGAAGTTGGATAACATAGCCAGAACATGACTAAATTAATCAGGACATTATTCAAACTAAGAACTCAAGAAAAAAAAAAGGTTGCGTCATATTAAGCGGGAACTTTCTCTTGGAGAAATGCGGTGATCATCGCCAAAGCTCTTCTAGGCTGAAAAAATGGAACCTGGTGTCCTGCCCCTCTTACAGTTGCTAGTGTCAATCCTTCATATTGCTCTACATAACCTCCAACCTGACACCATATACCATCAATTCATTCTCCATTCTCTGAATCAGACTCTCTAATCATTTTTAAGTAAGTAACACAGATGTTTGAAGGCTTAGGATATGATTCCTATTAAACATTTATTTGTGTCTTAATCCATCTGAATTTGCAATACAAAACGAATATTACCTCATCATCTTGGTACCATGCTTTCCATCTACTCTTCACTGGGAGTTCAAGCATCTTGATGAAATATCTAGTATCAGTTACTGGAACCACTGCATCTAAATCACCACTTTAAGAAAACAATACATTTTAGTTTGGATTTTAGTTTTTATTTTAATTTAAACAAGTAAAATGTCATTTAACCAGAAACTGTATGTCTGCACTATGCATATCATTTCACAAGTTGCATTACCTGTACATCCATATATTTAACTTCGCTCCAATAAGCTTTTTGATTGTTGGTAAGATTGTCTTTGGGCTGTCATTCCACTTGAGAAAACTGTATATACAAGAATCATATAAAATGATAGGAGTGTTTAAGAAAATAAAAAGAGTAATGCTATGTCTTCCAACACATTTTAAGCCAAGCCTTCAATAATAATTTTTCTTTTTGAAGAAAATTAACACTTATGATAGTATTCTGTAAAACCATTCTGACTTGCCTGCAAGGTTCCCATTTAATAATATTTGCATGGAGAGCCTTCTGTACCTCTGGAATGTTTAGGTAGGTCTCCATATAGTGATCCAAGCAAGGATCAAAACTACCAGGCTAATATAATTCCGAAAAGAAGGAAACATTTAGATAATATTATATTGATCAGCAATTTTTTTTTTCCTGATAAAAGAAAGATAAAAAAAAAAATCAATAAAATTAGGTGTAGTAGTGGTCTTACGTAAGTTGCAGCCTTGGCTTGTCCTGGAGAAGCATGGCAAAGTGGAGAATAGATGTTGTATCTACTAATTTTGCCAATTTCATCAAACGCCTTTTCATAAGCTTGATCGCATTTATTAGAGGCACTACGATTTGAAAAATTGCAGTATCTTTGTATGTCTGAGTATGTTTCGTCTGAGAAAAGTGCATGGCTCCAAAGATATTCAATAGTACCCTTTGCATTTGCTATGTAGTCGACAAAGGCATTTCCAATCTACAAGAGGGGACGATTATCATCCACGAGCTTATGAAATTTATAATGATAGAATTAGTCGAAATAATGTTATTTAGAGTCTGACATTTTTAAAAAAATTCATGTAATTAGGTTATTATATTTTGATAAGTTGGAAAATTCTGGTAATAGGATAGCCAGATTCATATTCATACTTGCATGAGAAATACACGAAAGCAAATTTAAATGTAGCTAAATTTATAAAATTTAACATGCTTGCATAGTATTTAGCCCCTTATTTCATCGTTAAAATATTCCTCTGCCTCCAAATTCTAACAACTTAAATGGACAAACTTGCAGATGAAAATTCAAACTGATTAAGTGTTGAGAATTGAACCTTATTTAAGGTCATATTAGTAAAATGGGAATATTGAAAAAATCTTGGGGTTTATTTTTAAAATATTGTAATATCCTATTTCAGGCATGTTAAGAATTTACAGATTAGGTTTTGGGTATTTTTTTTTTTTTTGTATAAGAGCCTAATCCTAGTCTCCACTCCTCTCTCTCTCTCTCTCTCTCTCTCTCTCTCACCTGTCCCTCTCTAACCCTAGTTGTCGCTACAGTGCTGCTAAGTACCACCACTACTCTCTTCCGGCCAACCGTTGTATTGAGAAGAACAAGACAAGGAGGAGGAGACATCGAGGGTAAAAAGTTTGGACGTGAGGAATAAACAATGGTTTCTCGAGTTATTTGTGTGACGCGATCCGACTCTTGCTACGAAACCAGAGAAGCGTGTGATGATGTTGGGAGTCCTCTGCGGCTAGATTTGTGAGACGAGGAAGAGGAGATGCCAAGGGTAAAAGGCTAGGGCGGTGTAGCCGGCAAAGGTTCTTGGAGTTCTCTGAGTGTCACAATCCGTCTCACAGGTGAACCAACTATTTCTTGTTCCCAACCTAAATTAGAACAATGAAGGCCTGGCCGCGCAC